TAAACATGACTCGCGCCGTTCTCCCGCGGCCCTGACTCGTCCTGCTCGCCCCAGTAAACATGACTCGCGCCGTTCTCCCGCGGCCCTCACTCGTCCTGCTCGCCACAGTAAACATGACTCGCGTCGTTCTCCCGCGGCCCTGACTCGTCCTGCTCGCCACAGTAAACATGACTCGCGTCGTTCTCCCGCGGCCCTCACTCGTCCTGCTCGCCACAGTAAACATGACTCGCGTCGTTCTCCCGCGGCCCTCACTCGTCCTGCTCGCCACAGTAAACATGACTCGCGTCGTTCTCCCGCGGCCCTCACTCGTCCTGCTCGCCACAGTAAACATGACTCGTGTCGTTCTCCCGCGGCCCTCACTCGTCCTGCTCGCCACAGTAAACATGACTCGTGTCGTTCTCCCGCGGCCCTGACTCGTCCTGCTCGCCACAGTAAACATGACTCGCGCCGTTCTCCCACGGCCCTGACTCGTCCTGCTCGCCACAGTAAACATGACTCGCGCCGTTCTCCCGCGGCCCTCACTCGTCCTGCTCGCCACAGTAAACATGACTCGTGTCGTTCTCCCGCGGCCCTCACTCGTTCTGCTCGCCACAGTAAACATGACTCGTGACGTTCTCCCGCGGCCCTCACTCGTCCTGCTCGCCACAGTAAACATGACTCGTGTCGTTCTCCCGCGGCCCTGACTCGTCCTGCTCGCCACAGTAAACATGACTCGAGCCGTTCTCCCGCGGCCCTCACTCGTCCTGCTCGTCACAGTAAACATGACTCGTGTCGTTCTCCCGCGGCCCTCACTCGTCCTGCTCGCCACAGTAAACATGACTCGTGTCGTTCTCCCGCGGCCCTGACTCGTCCTGCTCGCCACAGTAAACATGACTCGCGCCGTTCTCCCGCGGCCCTGACTCGTCCTGCTCGCCACAGTAAACATGACTCGCGCCGTTCTCCCGCGGCCCTCACTCGTCCTGCTCGCCACAGTAAACATGACTCGTGTCGTTCTCCCGCGGCCCTGACTCGTCCTGCTCGCCACAGTAAACATGACTCGTGTCGTTCTCCCGCGGCCCTCACTCGTTCTGCTCGCCACAGTAAACATGACTCGTGTCGTTCTCCCGCAGCCCTCACTCGTCCTGCTCGCCACAGTAAACATGACTCGTGTCGTTCTCCCGCGGCCCTCACTCGTCCTGCTCGCCACAGTAAACATGACTCGCGCCGTTCTCCCGCGGCCCTCACTCGTCCTGCTCGCCACAGTAAACATGACTCGCGCCGTTCTCCCGCGGCCCTCACTCGTCCTGCTCGCCACAGTAAACATGACTCGTGTCGTTCTCCCGCGGCCCTGACTCGTCCTGCTCGCCACAGTAAACATGACTCGTGTCGTTCTCCCGCGGCCCTCACTCGTCCTGCTCGCCACAGTAAACATGACTCGTGTCGTTCTCCCGCAGCCCTCACTCGTCCTGCTCGCCACAGTAAACATGACTCGTGTCGTTCTCCCGCGGCCCTCACTCGTCCTGCTCGCCACAGTAAACATGACTCGAGCCGTTCTCCCGCGGCCCTCACTCGTCCTGCTCGCCACAGTAAACATGACTCGTGTCGTTCTCCCGCGGCCCTCACTCGTCCTGCTCGCCACAGTAAACATGACTCGTGTCGTTCTCCCGCGGCCCTCACTCGTCCTGCTCGCCACAGTAAACATGACTCGAGCCGTTCTCCCGCGGCCCTCACTCGTCCTGCTCGCCACAGTAAACATGACTCGTGTCGTTCTCCCGCGGCCCTCACTCGTCCTGCTCGCCACAGTAAACATGACTCGCGCCGTCCCCCCGCGGCCCTCACTCGTCCTGCTCGCCACAGTAAACATGATGAATGGCGACTGTAGAACGCAAAAGCCGAATCCCGGACATTTTGGGCGATCTCGAAACACATTTTCGGGCAGACTCACCACGAAGACTCACTAGTAGGCTAGACTTGTTGTTTAACTACTGCGCTCTGTTACCGGTAGGCGTGGCCTCCTAGGGCAGCGAAGCAAGTGCATTCTGGGAGTTGTTGTCTTTCATCCACATAAGCCAAAAATACATTTTCTGGCTTTTCTCGGTCTAGAAAGCTCCAAATTCAAAAATAATTTCACATTTCTTCTACATAAATGACCCATTTTAAATACACATTCATCTTTCCAGAGGTGAAGTATCCCTTTCATGTTATAAAAGGGCGAGCATTTTTTTTTTCCGCAAACCCCCCCCAAAATAATTACTTTATTCAACAATTTCTTCTCTTCCACGTCATTCTCCTATGCTGTTGACGTAGTGTAAGCAGTGCAGCGCTTCCGGGTTCTACATCGGAACGGCGCCTCACTATTGGCCAGCTCCTGCGTCAGCAGCACACGCATGTGTCGCGATGCTCACATGACCAGCGTCGGCCAATATTGAGCCTATGTTCTGACGTAGAACCCGAAAGCGCTGCTTACAGTTTATTGTTGACTAAAGTCATTATTTTGTAGGGGGGGGGGGGTTCACACAAAAAGTGTTTTCTGCACTTTATAGCAAACCACTGGAGTCACATGGACTATTTTAACAATGTCTTTACTACGTTTCTGGGCCTTGAAAGTTGCAATTACGTTGCTGCCTATGGGTGTTTCAGAAAACTGAAGATGAACGAAGGTCTTACGGGTTTGGAACGACATGAGGGTGAGTAATTAATAACAGAAGTTTCATTTTTGGGTGAACTATCCCTTTAACCCATGTAGGCCTAAAACGCCTGCTAAAAAAGGCCTTTTTTACATCACAGATGTGTGATCCGGTTTTAATGGGTTAATGCAAAGATTTTCTCCAACAATGGAATTTGGGTTTCTTGCCACTGACACCTTTGGCTTGCTTGATTAGGGACAGTTATTAATTATATTTATACAGTGCAGACAGTACAGTGAGATTTTACATTTGATTAATCAATTTCTGCACCTGAGTAGACTTTTAGACTTAAGGCCATTGCACACTGAGTCCGAAATTTTCGTATGCGTTTTTTCGTATTCGAGATTCGGTGGCTCTGAATTGTCAAAACATCATTCAAACACCATTCAAACTGATTGCTACGGATGCGAACAACGCAGAAAATCGAACCCGATTCCATTTTTTTTATGACGGACGAAAGTTTCAGAGGCAGTGTGCAAGCGTGATTGACATAACGTGAGGTCGTATTTATTTTTTAACGTGCGAAAATTTCGGATGCGAATTTCGGACTCAGTGTGCAATGGCCTTTACATGAAAAACAAAGCAATGTTTATTTCCTTAGTTCTATTGTATTTATCTATGCTTACATTTTTCTGTGGAGATTCACTCCCCAATAAAATTCTAGAATGATTAATTATTTGCAAAAAGGTCTATTCAAGTCATCATATTGCAATAGATATTGTAGAAAAACAAAATATGTCAGTTTTTCCAATGAAGCCCTAGTAAAAACCACTCAGAACACCTTAGCAATTATGTATCAATCTAGAAAACCCTTGCAACTGCATAACGATATGTTGAAACCCACTCGGGACATCTTAGCAACTACATAGCAAAGCCCTGACAACTGCATAGCAACATACCAAAAATTGTTCAATTTTGCACAAGAATGCAACACCAGTTTCTGTTTTCGATGTAAAGTTCTGCTTAATGTCTAAAGATCTCCAAACAGAGAGAGACAGAGAGAGATGAATGAAGATTGCACAGAAGTAAGGGTGTTTCATTTCACACCTGTTATGAGCGCGGGAGTTCACAGTAGCTTTCCTAGGATAGAGGGAGAACATCCCAGGTGCTGGAACGCCCCGGGAACAGGCGAATACTGGGGTTTTGTCAAATTGCTGACACAAAGGCAGGCAGTGCTCGGTTTATTTTTTTTCTAACAGCCCAATGGAATAAAACACACTGTGTTGTTGATCATTACCAGCACAGGTGTGAAAGACATTCCAGAGCTCAGAAATGCATTACATGGAAATGATGAACTTAAAATAGATTAATAGACATTAAGCGTCTGAAGGCCTGATCAGACAAAAAGAGCAGCGTGGCAAAGTAGATCAGGACCATATGAGCCTGGCGGGCTGCCATAGGACGGGAGTGCAGTCTGATCATTGTGTTTCAGGGACAAAATCAGATCTGAGCAGTGTTTGTGCATGCAGTTATATGGTAAAACTCACAAAACATGTCCAGGTCATATTTAAGCCCAAAAACAAACAAAAAATTATACATGAAATGTTTCATTAAGAAAATGTGAGCAAAAAGATTGATATTTTAAAGACTTGGTAACCAAAAAGTTTTGGTTACTATTATTGACTTCCATTGTAATGACAAAAAACATTGAGACATTTTTAAAAAAATATAAGTCATACAGGTTTGGAACGACATGAGGGCGAGTAAATGATTTCATTATATGAAATATCCCTTTAAATTCTCATTAAATAATCACATTATTAAATAGTCCCATCTCTGCTTTTGTCTTTCATTTTATTCTATTTACGTTTTAGGCTCAGATATGACCCAGACATGTTCTTCATCAGGAATTTTTCAAAGGAATGCTGTTCTAATGAGCTTTGCTTTGCTAAGCCAACATACTTCTCTATATACCATCCGCATTTCAGGTCTCTGTCCCTCATTGGGCCACAATGTCAACAATATTTCTAAAAATATTCCCCTTTTTCAACCCCCAAACAAATGTTCTGCAATGAGCCCTTCTGTTGCCCAACTGTTGGCAGAACTTTGACCCCAGACTCACAGAGAGCAGCTTTCCTGCTCTCCCAAAACTTCTTTTCAAAGACACAATCATGTTTCTGACTGCTCACAAAACATAAATTGAGTGTTTTCCTTAAAATCACATTTAAAACTAAAGCGTTTTACATTTCAAACCAAAGTCATGTGAAATGAGACAGAATAGACACACTGACATTTCAGCTGAAATGTCACAATTGCAAAAATATACTAACTAACTAAATATATTTTTGTGAGATTTACCCAGATTTACTGTTTTGTCACCAAGATATTGCTTACCCGTATCGGCTCGGTGGAGAATCTGATTTTCCTTCTTGGAGACCGTTCCTCATCCTCAGACAAACCGGGAGCATCATCATACTCCTCATAGACCTCATCTTCATCCTCCTCATCCTCCGGGTCCTGAACCCCTTCCTTATCATCCAAAAACGCGGCATTCTCAAAACTATAAAACACCGGAGAAGATTTCCCATATTCGTCTGGATCTTCCTGCTCGCTCTCCTCGTCATCATCTTCATGACAGCTATTCCTCTTTTGTATGATCTCCTCCTCCTCCTCTTCTTCTTCTTCTTCTTGATTCGGTTCCTCTTTCTCCAGCTCTAATGATACACATACATCCCTCTCCAGCCGTTTGTCCTCAGTATGGTTTTGAGGTGATGACACCTTCAGAGGGTTCAGATCTGCTTTTGGAGCCTCGGATTTAAGTTCCCTTTGTAGCTTCACCTCTGACATGGCATCCTCCAAAAACTCTTCGTCGTTCTCCTCGCTTTCTGAAGACTCGTTCTGGACCACTACCAGCTCGGCCCGTACCACTCCCGCACCAGTCGGGTCCAGGCATTGTGTGGCGGTCTGCTCATGAGAGACGTCCCTAGATGGACTGGGAATTATGTGGTTCCCACTTTTTGGTTCCTCAGGACTCCAAGGCCGTTTATAGAGACTGGAAGAAGATTTGAGATCGTTCGCAGGAGGACTACTTGGCTTACTTGTCAAGGAATCTTTCACCGAGTCACTTCCAGAAGACGGAGAGCGTTTAAATGGGCCGTGAGCCGTGGGCGAAAGAGGCTCGCCGGTGCTCCTGCCGGTCGGGGAGGTCGGTTTGTATGAAACCGGGCTGATGGACTTGAACGGAGGGCTACCGGCTACTGGTTCTGTTTTACACGGGAGCGATTTGGGTGATGCGTCAGGGTTTGGGGATGTGGGTTCGTGTGCTTGATCAGTAACTGTGGAAGTGGGTTTCTGGGATCTCCCTCGTAGAGGCGACGCCAGCGAGTGCTCAGAGGCGCTGCTCAGTTTCTCAGGGCTTTTAGCGGAAACTTGCATTGACTCTTCATTATCACCGTCCACAATGAAGTTCTCCAACCGCCTGGAAATAGGTCCCGCATTCAGCGATAGCCTATTGACCTGTTTTGAGTCCTCAACGTCCCTCTTTTCCTCTGCGGCGCTACTCACAGGTGACGTTGGGCTTTTGCTGACGCCATTGTTGCTGGTGTTTTCAGAAGATCCGAAGGACCTCCGGGTGACTGAGGTCCTTCTCTCCGCGACGGGCTGCTCTTTTATCCCTCTTTCAAAGAGCTTCCTTGTCACTGAAAATTTCTCCGCCAGGGCGACTTTATCTATTTCGCCCTCTTCTCCCTTTGGAGTTCTGTCTGTGTTTTGCGGTTCTTGGTTGTTGGCAGTGCTGAGGGAGGTTTTGCTGGTGCTGACTGGGAACTTGGACACTGGGGACACAGGAGATGATGCATCTGTTTTTTGAGCAGGTTTACTCTCCTGACTCTCCTGCGATTGCTGGCCATCCATTTGCAAGAAAATGTTCTTGATTTTGTTTATCCGGTTGCCAAACGGCCTCCCCCTGGTGTCCTCTCGGGGGTCGCTGGCTCCATTAGCATAAGATTTGGCCTCGCTGTCGGATTTGGTCCCATCAAAAGTGCACTTAATGGCGTGGAAGTCCGACTTGTATGCATTTCTATGCGGGGACGCGCTCCGCAGGGTGCGTTCACCCTTGATCATTTTCAATGACTTTAAAAACTTCCTACTTTAAAACTGTATTTTTAGGTCCGTGGTCCTGTAATCCTCAATTGGACAATGGAAATTAGCCCTTCATAGTCACTCTGATACATTGTCTCGAATCCCCGCGCACATCTGAAAAGAAAAGAAACAATAACACTCTTTACATTTTAACGCGATTTGAAAGCACGCGCACGTTATTTAGGCGCTCTTTTGTTATCAGATAAAATCTCCACGACACTCATCCGCATGATCAAAGAAACTTTTCCAACTAAGATCAAAACTTTCCGACAGTGGCTTGCAGGCAGATCCATTGGGCTTCATTGAATCAGTGTTCAATATCTGACAGCGACTCAGAATAGATATTATCCAAAGAGTCGAATCTAGATTATATAATGTTCTTCAAATGATCGACAACTACCGCGATTAGTGTTAAACCTCACCACCAAACCCCATAAAGCTGACTCGCCGTGGAACAATAGCTCAGCATTAGTTCCAACAAATCATCCAAATAAAGTTTCGGAAATCGAGTTACAAACAATTACAGCTTCTGCAACACTCAAGTCATCTGCTTCTCTTACCTTCACGGATATCTCACTGTCTACGGGCGCCGGTTCTTCTGCTGTGTGTAATTTAGATCCCCAACCATGTCATTTGTTTCACCGCCATGGTTCTCCAACGTAGTGCTATCCGATTCGCGAAGGAATCGTTCATTTGAATCAGTTCGTTTAAATGATTCGATCGAAACGATTCAGAAAGCGTTCGTAAATCAGTCAGTGAGGGAGACCGTTGCTGGGAGTAAAACTTTAGTGACACTAGAAACAAGCAACATTTGACACACTTTTCGAGCAAGTAGGAAAATATCTATCTGTACAATACAAGAAACAACCAGGGTCTCAAACAGAAGGACACAAACAAATTAGAACATAAAAAGGCTATTAAGTGTAGCTTTAGGTTTTTTTGTTTGTTTGTTTGTTTTAGAAGGACATGTGTAATTGGATATCGTAATGCGCCTACGTTTTTGTACGTTTAATGTAAAATAAACACTATGTAAACATTATTACATTAAACATTTGTTAATGTTAAATTTTGTACGTTTAATGTTAAAAATGTACGGTTTTTTTGGATTTTATATTAACCAAATTATTGTTTAAAGGACTTCTGGGAACTATTGAACTGAATGACTGGTGAATTGTTGTATTAGAACCGGCTCGCTGAAATGAACAGACAGAACGAATCGATTCGCCAAATGACTCGAACTCCCTAAGCGTCTGTCTTCCTATTGAACTCCACTTCACAGACCTGTCGCACCGCTGCGCGCTCCCGACGCTACACGAGCACATTCCAGGGCTGCTAATAATCCCAACCCCCTTCCCGACTGAGAATTTGCTAATTCTACTATGGCGAAGGATTTGATAATGAATATTAATTAGCGCACGGTGACGAGACTTGGAAACCTGCGTGGAGCGTCCAGTCACCAATTCTCAGTTACTATTCTTCCGCCGGCCAAACCTTCGCAATAGTATGATTTATTTCGTTTCCAGACCAAAAGGTTGATTCAGCACAGGTTAGGTCGAGAATAGCGTGGGAAAGAACCGATTAAGCTGCTCCACCTCTGTGTTCATGTACAGTAGGCTAAGGAGAAGTGTAGCCTATCGATAACCAAAAATTAAAATATGTAGGCTACATATTTAAATATTTATACATTTTTATCTGTTTTATTATTAATAATAGGGTCATTCCTGGGATTCGGTGCCGTTTGTGTCACCAGTAAAGATGATCTTACTGCATTAAAGTGTAATAATAGCCTACCAATTTTAAACCTGTCTTAGTCAATCATAAATAACACCATTTGAATTCTAAGCATATTGAAGTTGATTTAAAAAATGATTTGAAACATTTTACCGCATTTTAAACCGCCACATATATATCATAATTTTTCCTAAAGTCCCCAGGCCTGCAGCCTATCCCATATTTCATTTATTTGATAAATACAACAACACTTAGGCCTACTATACATTTTTTTTACATTGTTAGTAGGCTATATCAGTAATGATTCTCTCCAATGTAGTGTTTTTTTTTCAATTATTACATTTATTTGAACAATTATAATCAAGGTTTTTAGCTTGTCCCTCAAATTATTGTCCACCCAGTTATTTTTGAATACTTTCCCTTTAAATGAAAGTTGGAACAATTAAATGACATTATATTAGGCTACTATATAAAGCAGTCATCACTTCTTTGGAGGAAAACAACTTGAGCGAGATCGTCGTTTTTTTTTTTTTTTTTTTTTACCAATTTTATCTTTCAAATTTGATATGGTCAACCTTAGTACATCCTTCCTGTTAAGGGAAATATGATTTTTTTTTTTTTTTTTTGAAAAATCATATTTTTACTATTAGGGCTACAGTTTTAAAGACCATGCAATTCTTTATTAGATACACTTTCTACAGCTTCTTGTTGCTCAGATATCGTGCAGTGGCTGATTTTAGTCAGAATGTCCGAACCTGTTATATCTGAAGAGTGATTGTGAAAATAATGTATGTCTAAAGTTGAAGAAGTATAGTGCATTTAAAGTTTGTTAGATATGTTTAATAATTTCATAAAATCAGCACCAAAAAAAACCCAGTGACAATGAAAGTGTCAATATTGTAAAATAATGTAATATAAAAAAATATATATCAATAATGTAGTATAAAAAGTAAACAAAATGCCATTTGTATCTGTCCCTAACGATGGACATTTTTGATCTCCTATTTCATTTATTTTGTTTAATAAATGGTTAAATTGACCAGAATATTTTTCAAATGTTTTACATCATCACGTGACTATATAAAAAAATAGTTTGATTTTCCAAATTTCTGAGGGCCAAAAGGCACCGAATACCAGGAATGACCCAATAATACAATAATATTGTATTTTATTAATTTTAAAGAATTAGATTTTTCAATTTCAATTTTTTTATTTTATATGTAATTAATTTAATTATCTATTTATGTATTATTATTTGTTTTGTTGGAAATATGCTACAGAGTGTTCGATATTGGAGCATAAGTCATTTAACACCTTATTAGATTGATTTTGGTCTTGAATATTATATTACACAAGTTCATAGGTCGGAGCAGAGTTCAAATCACAGTGTGAATTCCTGCTCCTGTCACAATGATTCGATTATCTCAACTAAATGAACATTAATCTCAGTGAAAGAAACATTTGCTCAGTCTCTGAATGCAGTGCATGTGAGTGTGTCCGGGTGATGTGGCAGTCTCATGTCTCAGCCCTCTCTCCCAGCTCTGTTCACAGATGTCTGATGATATTTCCTCCAGTTCTCTGTCTGACAGTGTGTGTGTGTGTGTGTGTCACTGATGCGCCTGCTTCAGTCAGACCTGCATTCATGGGGCAATAAAAAGATTGAGATGATGTTGGAGTATGAGAAACATACAGTATATAATGACTGGGAACTAAAATTAGGGAAACAATTTTGAGGGCAAGTCTTTATTTAGTGTTTTCCACTGGTACTATAAATCATAACAGATGCGTTTGTCTTTGGTGTGTGTGTGTGTGTGTGTGAGTCAATTAAACAGCTTAAAGTTTAGAAACTGCCAATGAAAAACTACAGGGAATAATAGAAAAATGGAAAGTAAACTGAAAGCTGCATAGCATATGATGGAAAATACAATTATTATAAAATTGTTTTATGCATAAACATTTAATCCGAGGTAATGATGATCATAAGAGACTATGATGAATTTTCTTACACAAAACAGTTGTTTATACAGTTATAACTCATAGTAATTGTGTTTTCCTCATATGTCTTATAGCATTGACCCCATCTATTGACCCCAAAATTTTCAATTAAGCGAAATTTTCACCTGAGAAATATGAAAGGCCAACATTCAGTTTTATTGAAAAGGAGCTAAATAAAGGGGATTTATTTTGTCCTTTTTCATCTGCTCTATTTAATAGGTTTTCACGCATGCTTGAATGTTAAAAAAATACATTATGTTCCCCATATTCTCCATTGTTGCAGCTCCTCTCTTCCCAGTCTGTCGATAACGTTTAGTTGCTGTCTCTATGAATACCCACCCAGGGTTGCCAAGTCTGTGGAACAAAAGTAGTCCAATGGCCAGTCAAAAGTATCCCAAAAACAGTCCAATGCAATTTTCTCCATCGGGCGGCCGAATTCTCCACTGAATTTGTAGTGTTTTGGGGGTGTTTAAGTGCCAAAATTGTACCTACATGGGTGAAAATCAACCCGTGAAAAAAAATAACCCATGGCAACAACTTAAAAATAGCCCAATTCCACATGGACTTGGCAATACTGGCCCCTCCTTCTGAAAAGCACACTGTGCTCTGATTGGTCGGCTGGAGTAGTGTGTTGTGATTGGTCGAGCGCTTTGAGTGTGTTTGGGAAATGTCCCGCCCCTTACCATAACCGCCAGTTTTTCAACAAACTATTAACTAACTCAACCAGGCCCCGCCCCTTTATTCTGCGTGTGAATTATTAAAAATGAGGAATATTGTGGCGTGTTCGTTCCAGAAAACTCAAGACTACAATGGAGGCGTTTCAGGGAGTTCAGAAACACTGACACTGATATAGAAAATAACTCCCGCTGGAGGGACTATGCTCAAACAGCAACATTACACACTAAAGAAAGAGTGTAAAGAGTAAAAAAAAACAATCGGTCCTCTTTAACCCTCTGGGGTTGTTCGGCCCTAATGGACCCGAATCATTCAAATAAAAAAATGTTAAAAATCACAGCTTCTTCGGAATGGTCCGAAATTTGGTGACTTTGTTGGTATTTGGTATGTGAACACCCAAAAAAATTGGGGACAGGATGTGAACAGTCTAAGTGGTTGTAAAAAAAATAGTCACACTCAGGACGTTCGGGTCCAAATGGACCCCCATAGGAAATGAATGTGAAATTGTCAAAAATATGAAAACACAGATTATTCAATATGAAAACACAGACTATTCAAATAGAATAGTCTATTTGAATAGTCTAAGTGGTTGTAAAAAAAAATAAAAAAAATACTCACACTTAGGACCTTCGGGGTCCAAATGACCCCCAATGGAAATGAATGGGAAATTGTCAAAAATATGAAAACAGTTTTTTTGTGCATACAATATACAAATCAGCCAGAATGCAGAAAAAATGACTCAACGGTGAAGGGGTGAATCTCTAAAACATCAAGAGTGCAAAACAGACACACACACACACACACACACACACTGTATTATATATTTATAATAATCTGTATTATAAAGTAAAACTGGCACTTCAAATTACCATTTAAACCAACCAAACAAACAAAAAACAAGACAAAAATAGTCTTTGAGAATCTGTTATTATATTTTAAAAATCAACAACCTGAAAAAAAAATTGTATATATTTGCAAAATTCACTAGAATCCCCAAGTAAATCCACTAGTGGTAAAAATTTGCTATTGCGTGATAAAAATGCTCAGTGTGTCCACCAGATGGCATCTATATTTTTTTAAAAATTGCTTTCATGAGGCCTAGGCTTCACTCTAAAATGTAATACAGCTTTGATAAAAAAATTTTTTTTAAATAATAAAAAAAAAAATTATATTATGTTCAATGGGAAAAAATGGGTCATAATTATTGCATAAATATTAATTATAAATCATAAAATATCTCAAAACACCAAAAAAGAAAAGAAAAAAAATTATAGAAAACAAGTTAAAA